CCCACACTGATGTGGCGCAGGATCAAATTCTGTCTGTTTGACGCTGCCTCAGATTGTCCCCAGGGCACTTTACTGCGCTGAAGGCGCTAGGTAAATGCAGGTTGGTGAATCGAGCAACAAAGTCCTGCCTCTTGGCTGAGGAGGGACAAACCAGTCACACAGAGCGTGCGATGGAACTGTACAACCTGATTGCACACACCATGTGGTACCTAACAGCCTGCCTATTCCCAGCACTATTTGTTGTTGCACTGCAGTTTCTCTCCTGTTTCCCCCACCCCCCACCACCTCCGACTCCTCCTCCATTCCCAGCGACTGCCTGCCTCTCCTCTGAATCATCCTTTCTCTCTCTGCAGGGACAAGGGGGACATGCCGCTATCTGCAAGATCTCTGAGGTAAGCTGGCTCACGGCCCGAGGTTTCACATTCCCAGACTTGACAGCGTGGGCTTAACTAAAACCAAACTAAACTGTCCCTTTGCACACTGCAGCCACGCTGACGCTTGGCAAATCAACTGAACATTTACTGTGGACTCTTATCGCCCCTGAGCTGTACTCATCCCACCCGCTCTCTCTCTCTGGCTTCACACGCTGAGGTGGGCAGCTTTCCAGTTCCATTCCAGAGCCCGCGCTTACTCATTCTCGCGTTTCTGTGTACGGGAGTTTGCTGTGCGCAGATTGGCCTCAGAGCCCTGTCATTCACTGTGAAGTTTTGGGACGTGTCAAGATGGTGAATGGTGCTGGGAGGATGTGGAATGTGAATCCTGATTTGGGGACGTTCCTGCTGTTTGATGAGGCACTATGCCGTGTCCCCCCGGAGGGTTGTTGGTGTGTGTGTGTGTGAGTCAGAGAGAGAGAGAGAACAGGATGTGATTATTGAATCGACACACTGCTCCTTGTACAGAGCCTTTCTCAGAGAAGGGCTAATGTAATAGGGATGCTGACAGCCTTGCCTCTTCTCCGTCAGGTACCTGATGTTGGAGCCCCATGAGATGGAGGCCTTTGTCAATGTCCACAAGATGCAGACCATCAAACGTCAGGTACAGGCACCTTCAGTTTCTCAGCTATCCATCCATCGCTCTCCCTCGCTCTCGCTCCCTCACTCTGCCTCCTTGCCTCACTCTCCAACCCTGCCTTGCTCACCTTGCACGCATTTCTGTCCCTCACTCTTCCTCACTCTTCCACTCTCCCTCTCTCCCTCGCACCCACTCTCTCCCTCGCACCCACTCTCTCCCTCGCACCCACTCTCTCCTCCCCTCATTGTTGGGTGTGCCCCTCTGTCCCTCCTGCCTTGGGGTCTTGCCCTGTGCGTGCCCGGTTTGCACTGTGTGGCAGCTGGCTCTCTCCCTGACCCTGTCAGTTGTTTGATGGCAGACAGTGATAACCTGCATGGCCACCCTCAACAAGAACATGGCGGACGATGATGCGGTGGGCTGCCTGGTGATTGGCACCGAAAACATGGAGGTGTGCATCCTGGATCCTGAGGCCTTTACCGTCCAGGCAAAGGTAATCGCGCCGGCCCAGTTAGGGACAGGAAGATCAGTATTGTTTCCGAACGAGATGTGGTGAAGGGGTGGGGGGCGGGATCAGGTGTCTGGAAGAAAAGGCAGGTGAAGAATTAATGATTCAAGACTGATGTTTCTTAAATACAGTTTTAATCCAGCAACCATAGATTACGGCAGTGATTGAGGCCATTCACCGTACTCTGTCTGCTGAGTAAACTAGCCCATCCTTTCTAATCCCACGTTACAGCCTCTGGAGCCTTGCAGCTTCCTGCACTTCAGGGGCAGATCCAGGCATATGAGGAGAGATTGAGTCGACTGGCGCTATGCTCATTGGAATTTAGAAGAATGAGGGGGGCATCTTACAGAAACCTGTAAAATTATGAAGAGGATAGATAAGACAGAAGCAAGGGAGTTTGTTCCCACTGATGGGTGAAACTAGAACGAGGGGCCATAGCCTCAAAATAAGGGGGGGCAGATTTAGGACTGAGCTGAGGAGGAACGTCTTCACCCAAAGGGCTGTGAATCTGTGGAATTCCCTGCCCAGCGAAAAGTTGAGGCTTCCTCGTTGAATGTTTTTAAAGCAAAGATAGATTTTTGAACAGATACAAGGATTAAGGGTTTATGGTGAGCGGGAGGGTAAGTGGAGCTGAGTCTATGAAAGGATCAGCCATGATTGAACTGAATGGTGGAGCAGGCTGGAGGCGACAGATGGCCCGCTCTCCCTCTTACGTTCTTAGCTTGAATGAGTTGAGGGGTTTCTGCCTTAAATTGGGCAGTGAATTCCAGACACCCACCTGGCTCCGGGTGAAACAGATTTTTGCTCGTATCCTTTAGAACTTCTCTGCATTAAACCCATACCTGCATGTCATAGACCTGTCCACTAGAGCGAAGCAGGTGTTCCCTGTCCACGGTACCTGAGCCCCCTCATTATGTTGCACACCTTGATTGAACCTCCTCTGTGTGTCGGGGTGTAGAGGCTGCCAAGTGACAGAAAAGATACTTCACGATCTCAATGACTCTGTGTGTGTGTCTCTGTACCAGCTGAATCTCCCCAGTGTCGCTGTGTTTATGGATGTCACCGGACAGTTTGATGTGGAGTTCAGGATCATTGTCGCTTGTCGGAATGGAAATATCTACATAATTCGCAGGTAGGTCTCGCCCTGGGGGTTTGGGAGTCCTTTTGTCTTCCGTTCGCTGGTGCATGGACTGTGTCTGTACCTGCCCTGATCTCTGTCGCTCTGTATAACCCTGCTCCAAGAATGTGCATCAAAACCAAAGTCACACAGCCCTGTTTATGCCACAGCCCAGTTCCCGGTGTGACCACATCGCAATTTTAAAAACCTTCTTTTCAAACGACAGTCCCTCTTCCCTACCTCTGTCACCTCCTCCAGCCCCGACACCCCCTCCCTATCTCTGTCACCCCCTCCCTATCTCTGTCACCCCC